GTGTTCAGGCCTATGCATTATCTCATACCAAACTGTGCCCACCCCACCCCCCCCAAATACCACCCCTCCCTTTGCCTTTCACAGTCAAACTGCCCTAAAGTCTTCCCGCGGGGAGTTTAACTGCTGGTGGTTCACACCTCTCCACAATGCCCACGTCAGGGGGTCCAGTCCTCTCACCTCAGGATAGAGGGCTGTTGTATTAAATGTGATGATTGGGGCGGGGGGGGGGAGGAGGCAGCTGTTGAAACACTTCGTCTGCCCCCCCTCCCCCCCAAACTCTGACTTAACCCACACATGCATACAGAGACAGTAATGGCCAGAGGTATTTCCATCTTTAATATGAATTCTGATGCAAATTTGAATTTCATCCAGGAGGATTTCATAGGACGATGGCGTCATCGGCCTTTTTCTAAAGAATAGCCTTTATCAAGTTACCATACATGTGAGTCATTTCATGACCTGGGGTTAAAACAAACCAGGCCTCCTGGCAGTAAGAGATTCAAATCTAGCAAAGTGTGAGTCAGGACGACCCTGAACCAATGGCTGACTCCATTCAAAGGTAGACCTGACGTCCTCTGGGCATTCCCAAACCCAATGCTGCAGACGTGACAGGAGCAGGCTCCATGGGTTCTTTTAAACACATCGTCACAATCAACGCAGACGTCATTTTCCAGTCAAACACACACAGGCTCATTTTCTAAAGCTCCATTTACCAACAGCGCAGTGAAAGCTAGACAGGCACTTTAAAATTTGAGAGCGTGCAGTGTAGCCATGCTAAGTATATCCTCACTGACCTTTACAACAACAGACACTTATATGCCCAACCGAACGGCCTGATCATCATAGGTGCATATAAAGTTTGACAACAGAGAATTAAAGCAGCTTTTCTAAAATTAAGTTAGAAATAAGTCATAGTTAAAACTCCTAAAATGGAAAACAGGTAAACATTTTCAGTCGTGAGGACAAAGGGCTCTATTGTCTGCAGGCAATGACGAGAACCTGGATGAGGCAAAACTTGGCAGGCCAAATATATAAACTGGGCTCCTGCAGCTCAAACACTTAACTGGTTTGATTTAGAAATAAGGTCCATAGAAAGAGGACACTGGTGAAAACAATAACAGAAAAGAGAGTGATCTTAAATGGAGAGGGACCTCAGTGTAGTCAGAGAAAACACTGCTGCTTCAGTGGTCAAAAGAGAGACCAGGCCAATGTCAATATTAGTTTTAACTCAAACCCTTCTTGGAGAGGGTAAACTCCAGGAGAGTGACCTACATGGACTGGTTGACCTGTGCACGTGAACGTCATGGTCAAACCATCCGTGAGCCAACGCACATCACCGGCACATCCCTGAAACATGTGTGTGGACTGGAAGAGATTACTAACCCCATCAGAGGGTTCTCTGTCATTGCACAGAGCTTTGTGACGGCAGTAGCGTCCCCACGGCTGCTTCAGACTAAAGGTTTGCCTCGTCAGTAAGCAGTCACCAGTTTAAGATTTTGCTTGACCATCATTTTACATCATCAATTCATTATCCATACTTTTGGGTCATAAGACAATATTTTGAGCTCCAGGGCTGAAAATTATTTTGCAAGAAAACATTGTCAACACCGTAACAGGAACATTGTTAGCGGACTGTTTTGGAAACGTGTTTTGCATACAAATTCTTTCCCATCCCCTGCTATGGTTACTGACACTTGGTTGGGTTGGTCGATCAATGGTTCATTTAGTGTGATTTAATTAGCTCCAGTCTAGCTATATACTGCTAAGAGGCTAATTTGCTCATTGTTGAATGTTAGAAAGAATTGTTATGATAATGTTGCAAAACTGTGCAACATTACCACCATAACCATAAGGCAACTGTGAATAACAGTTGCTTTATTCACTCAGTGTAGCAAACACAGACAAGGACCCTTTTCTCAACTTCCTTAATTTGACGAAGAGCTTATCTGGACACTTTCTGCTGACTACTGCGAGCGACTTCAGAACATGCGCTTAACCGCGTCTAATGTAAAAGCTCACTTTTCTTGAACAGAAGAGACTCGCTTCTCGTGAAAAAAAAAGGCACAACTTTTAATGACTTTAACCCTTTTAAAAAATCATTAAATAAAACATGGGCACACTTCTTATGCTTATATATTAATCTACGTATTTGTATTCTGTATCTAACATGGGAAGATCCGAGACTCAACACAACACTAAAACTGTCATTAAAACCATCAGCAGCAGTCATCAGATTTGAGATGCATGCTAAGAATTTAGAAGTTTGCTCAGCCAACAGAAAAGTTGGCAGTCCTGCATTGACAACTTTTGCAACTAAACAAACAATGAAACCTTGATTCATCAAAGACTTTTTTCTTTAACCTATGTTTGGTCAACTATAAAGGGGCAGCCATAAGTAACAAAAAAAATGGTTTTGAAATGTATAATCCCTCAAAAGTGCTACATTTTTTTGGTGGACAGGCACCAGAAGCTGTCTCATTCACTCCAGGACAGGTCTGTTATTATTTACACCCCCTGATCTCTGACCTCTTCTATCTCTGAATGATCCACTCCCTTATCACTGCCTGGCACCGGTGAGAACCAAAGAGGAGTCTGTAACCGGTGTTTGATTATTTAGTGTTTGGGGAGAGTGTCAGAGCTCACAAGTCTTTCAGAATAAAGAGGAGGGTGTGTGTATCAGAGGAGTTCATCTTCACAGATCATGAAATAACATACAAACACAACAGGGGACCATATATCCTCCTGCCCTTCTCGTATGTTTCCGACAGGAGCCGTCACACACAGTTAACAGACTCTGTCCTCAGGCGTTCTTCCACGGTGGGCTGTCTGCCAGCGTCCAAACTTAATTTTATTAGTCCAGGCCGGAGGGCACGACAGATATATAAACTCCATGTCAATGACGAGCGCCAAAGTGGGAGAAAGTAAGCCTTTTGTGTTTGGAGGCCTGACAGGGAACGTTTATGGATGTGAGAACTATCTTCCTCCCTTGTCTCCACATCTGCAGCAGACCATTGGTCATTCAGCCGGAGATAAATAAAGTTTTTCAAAAGCAGCAACAGTTTTGTTCATAAAGGTCAGAGGCAGTTCTTACAGCAGCTCCACTACGACTCCCCGTTCAACCCTCAACTGACCTCACCCGGGGATTCCAGCTACTCCCCCTCTCCCTGTCTCCCCAAAGTGTGGGAGATGATGATGTGACGGCAGAAACAGGAGATAACAGAAACTCATTTCCAGACTCTGCTGATATTTTTTCACGTGTCGACTTCAGAGAAAAGCGGGGATGAAAAGTGGCAGATATATGTGGTTTCCAGATTAAGCTCTGATTCATGCTCATAAATCTGCTTTCACTTTGTTTTGTTTGACATTTGACTTCTGAACACACATCATCCAAAGGGAAAATTACAGGTTTTCAGGAAGCTACATTTACATTATTTTTTCTGTGCTTGAACAAAGCATGGTCTCATCTCCTCCTCCACAGCTTCTCGAAAACTTCAGATTAAGTCATCAGTATGATGACGTCTCCCGTGTCTCACACATAATGAGACGAAGAGGGGGATGATGGGGAAGGCTAGACGGTGGGTTGGGTGGGTGAAGGGGGGGGGGGTTGTAGGTGGTGGATGAATTAAAAAGCCCTGCAGGATGACATCAGCATAGGAGGAAAATAGGGGAGGGGGATGTCGAGGAGAGAAGAGGGTCTACACGTTCAAGCTTCACGTCCTAAATCATACCGCTCTCATGAAGCTTCCCAGGCTGGGACATGAAGAGCAATAGCAGCAGGCTTTTAAAAAGACAGCAAAAGCCGGGGGAAGGGGGGGGGGGGGGAGACATTTCCCCATGTCTGAGTGTCTGCCGTCCAGGGACGCAGGGAGGAGAAAGAGGGGAAACTAGAGCTGCTGCTGAAGGCCCACTCGGCACAAAGCCCTTTCTCAAATCCCAGCATGCTGGCTGGTCGAACAGTGGGCCGAGACACAGGCTGAGCCAGGAAGTCTGATTACGTCTGAGTGAAACCTTGACTCTGGCCACAGAACCTTTTGCTAATCAGTATTACGATTACAGGGTTGGGTCCAAACGCTTGACAGAATGTACAAAACCCAAAGGCAGACCTGTCAGCATGTTATTAACCCTGGTTTGTTTTGTTATTTCCTGTATTTTTGTTGTTAATGCTCCTATAGGACCGTCAGGACGTCCCACACTGGTATTTTCTCCTCATACCGCGGGGGGAATTAGACCTGACCACAGGCATGTGTGAATGACTTTAAGACCCTCAAAATGACTGATGCCAAAATCTCTTTAGGAAGAATGCAGAGACAATCCAAGCATGCTGGGTGTCATGGAGCTCACATCCCCACAGAGCCAGGAAGCATCTCAATCCACAGCAGCGTTTCAAACCAATAAGATGTGATTACTTAGGGTTGTAGTTAACAGGCTTTTTCAAGATAAATCAGATTAAAAGGTCAGAATTAAATGCAATTGTGTGGAGGAATGAGATTAGGATTTGAGGGGGATTCCAAAGGGGTTGATTCTTATTTTATGATGAAAAAGCCACTCTTTTAGAGTAGCATTAGAGGGACTTTAATGTTGGAGTCACTTAGGACACAAATTTAATTTCCTAAATATATTCAATTACAGTGACTTGCGTGCACAGGGAGGGCGTGCGCACTGTGCGTAAAGTTTACATGTGTCCTGAGATCACAGTGTGTACACAAAGCCCTGATTTAATGTCAGAGGTAAAACCATCCAACATCCAAAAAAAAGTTGGCTGAATCCTGTATTTCCCCTTTTGGAAGTTTGCCCTGTAACCTTAACACAGGGGTCGGAAATGTCCTGAAGTTCTCCAGTGTAACTGAGGCAATGGAAAGTTTGAAGGCTAACTGTTCAAGGAGTGATGAATAAATGTTTCAGGTTTTGGTCTGGTGTTGGTTTGCTGGGGGGGAAAAAAGCCCCCTCTTGTAAAGATAACAATTAGACATATACTCTTATTCGGTGTCTTAGAAACTCACCTGGCAGAATCAGCCAAATAAAAGTCAACAGAGTATCCGAAGTAGCTCCCCTCAGGTCCGCTGTAAACAGCTGGGCTCTCCACGTCCAAGTTGAACGCCTCACAGACAGGCTGAGAAAAAGTGAGTAATAGTCCGATCATACAAAGGACTGAGCGGGCGAGGAGCTCTGCTGTCCCCGGCGTCTTCACGTCAAATCGTCCCAAACCCATTGTTGAGAATAAATTAATCCACTATAAGCCTCTGTCAAATGGCGAAATTGTTCCCAGTGCTCGGCGCGCTCAAGTCCGCAGATTGGAGCTTGAAACAGTGGTGGATTGTGGCTAAAACTGCATCCCTGTAACTCTAACCGGCCAGTATGTCATTAATGCTCCGTCAGCTCCTCTGTGCGTCCTCGCTCCTCTCTCTCTCTCTCTCTGTTTCTCCCTCTCTCTCTCTCTCCAGACACACGCCTCCTCTGCTCACCTACTCATGATACATGAAGCTGGGAGTTCCCACACCCGTGACAAAGTTTGGAGGAGGAGGAGGAGCCTGTGATTCCCCTCTTAAAAAAAAACAAAAAAAACATTATAGATGGCCTTCTCATCAACTTGCCTTTCTGCTTGATAACCAGAGTGGTAAAGATGTGGTCACTGTCTTTGTTATCAGTGACACAGAGATCATTAACCAAAAGAAGAATCCTCCTTTCGAGTTTATCTCTCAATTATGTTGAACTTTTTAACACTGTCAATAGAATTCACATTTTAAACCAACACATTTAGATGTTTAGATGCTTCTGATGTCCATGACAAGAACATCTTGGTGTTTTTTTTTTGTTTTTTTTATCTCTTAGGGTTTTCACAGATAAGTCAGGAATTCAAACTGCTATGAAGCACCGCTTTGTTCTCTCTTGGCCTGTTCTTTCAAGGCCTCGTTTAAAGCAGCAATCTCCGATGCCGAAAAACTAAAGACAACTTTTATTTACCCAATGCAATCCTTCAATTGGCCCTTTGGGACTGGCTCCAAAAGTGAATCAACCTCCAGTGTAGAAAAATGAAGCCAACCCTGCACAGTGCTGCTGGCTGATAGTTACTCAACTCAACTTGTTAGCCGTGCTTTGTTGTTGGACCTTTTTGAGACTTTGTCATGCAAATATCTGACCAAAAATATGTTTTACTGTTTTGTTTATTGCAGTATCAGTCTTCCCCGAGAATACTGCCATAGGTTTTTTTAACGTGAGATTTCAACTATCGCAACTATCGGTCTCTATGAGCATTGTACCTTGCTTATTAGCCCGTTTAGTGTTTGTTGTTATTTATCATACTAAGTCCCTTTAATCATCACTTGTCACTTTATCTTGTCATTCTCTGCAAATACTGTCTCAATTCCCCGCATAGTTAACTTCATCATTCATTTTGTACTTGTATATACCCCCTATTTTTATTTTTATTTATCTTATCTATTCTGTTTAATGTGTATTTTGAGCTTACTTGTCTGTGCTGCTGCAACGCCCGAATTTCCCCCTCTGGGGATCAATAAAGTATTATCCTATCCTATCCTTGTTGTGTATTGATTATGTTTATTTTGCCATCCAATGTGAGAGGTGGGTGAGCAAAGTCCAAGTTCACTTTGTGCACCATCTTTCTTCAGTATAGAAAATAAACAGCTCTTTTAAGAAACCATTCTGTGGGAAACGCTCATATACAAGCTAATAATTCAGCACCGCCTTTTCGTCTGAATATTGTCCCAATATATTTTTTCTTTTTGCATTTTTGCATTTTTATATCTTTTGTCATTTTGGTTAAAATTTCTATAGACTCAACGTTCATATTGTCGTGATGCATCCAGCCATGTTGTGTGGACTTTGTTGCCAGCTGATATTTGGGGGTTTGTTTGTTAATAAAAGCACTTGTTTGTTTTGAAGGTGCCAGATCAATAAAGCCATTCTATTTTATAATAATCAAAACTATTATCAACTGCTAGCTCGAGAAAACCAACCTGGCAACGCCCAGAATAAGAATAACTGGGCTTGAATAATGAAAGTAAAAATTTTTAAAAAAAAGCAGGTGATGTCACAGTGGCAACAACAATACATGTTTTAGTCTTTGATGAATTCCAATTATGTTTTTAACAAGGTGTGCTCTAGTGGACATTTCTTCCTTTCTTCTTCGCTGCGTTCAGAAATATGGCTGCTTCTTCTCCACATTTAGAGTAAACATCTCAAAGTTACATCTCTCATGATGATGCAGGGATTTATATTAACATCTCCTCACTAATTACTTTTTTTCACACACCCTTGAAACTCAATGTGTGATCCATATGTATGTCTATCTAATTACAGTGTTTCTAACTCGGGCACATGATGTCCTCCGATGCTCTTGGAGAGGGTGTGGGAAGATTATGTATTCCTGCCTGTGAGTCACACGAGACCGAGGAAAGTGGTTAGGCTGCGTAAAGCAACTACTCACTGAAATGAGACCTTTAATAAACCTATCCAGGGCCGGCTGGAATTAGTGCCTGTTGGTTTAGTTGATTCACTTGAAGCCTCGGGGATTGAACACAGGGGTTAAATTTGGCTGTGTGGCAGTAGCAACATGAACTCTCAGTCAAGTGCTGCTCGTATTTATAACCGGTCTGGAAGTCTGCTCGTAGACAGATGAGGAGTAATCCAGAGTGTCTGTTTGGGGGGCCACTTCACAGCTGTTGGGGGCACTTGATGGTTCAAAGCCCTAATCCTGGAGGGATCTCATTCTCTCACTCTGTTTTTAGTTCCTCAGGACGGGATTGTAGATGAAGGAGAGCTCAGAGTTGAAGATGTGGTCGACAGAAAGCCAGTTTATTTGAAGTCCAAACTTTCCCTCTGAAGTCAAAGTTTGGTTTTTAAAAATTCCATGAGAGAGATTTACATGAGAAAATGTTTGCCACAGAGGCACTAATGAATTAAAATGAGTTACATGTGAACTCATGCCACTTGAATTCGTGTTTCTGTATATTTTTGAAGCCACTGGAAGTCGTCATAGTCCTCTACAAAGTCCCATGACCTCATTGTTTGAGGTTAGTCAGAGGTGGGAAAGCAAACACTTTGGAAATAACTCAAAGTGATATAATCTCTGAGTCATTGTCACTTTAGAGTCTGCAAGATTCAGAGGTGGGACAACCAAAGTACAAATAGTTTTTTCTGTAGTGAAGTAGAGTTTTTAAGTATTTGCACTTTACATGAGTACCTAGTTTCCTGATAGCTGTTTGCCTTAACCCATATTTAGTAACACAAATGTCTGTAGTTTCTGCCTCTACATATTGAAATCAGGCTTTCTTTAACTTTAGGTTTTTGAGGGGATCTTTTTTTTGGTTTTTGGTTTTTGGTTTTCGCTTAATAATTTTTGACCAAACCTGCAATTATGCTTCTTGTTAGTCTGTTTGAGTGGGTATATAAATCAAGACCTGAACTGTGATTGGCTGTTTGCTTTGTCAGAGGCGGGACTTTAGTTCAAATCAACTATTTTGGATGTGTTACAACAGGTTGCTTATAGTTTTCTTTGCAGTTCAGTGTTGCCCATTTCGCTTTGTTAGTATTTTAAATGAGTGACTTTGGACATAGGGAGCTGTTTTCAGTGGGTGACAAATATGTGCCCTTAAAAAAATGTTTCAAAAAGTGCCTTTTAAATATTGGTTTTGTTCCATTTCTTTGCTCTGCACGATGTTTCATCTGATTGGTTGAAAAATATCAGACATTTGGGTCGCGATTTTTCATGAGGAGTTGGTGGTGGGTGCTGACCAGTCGAGAATCACTGATCTAAATGTTGCCACTTTGTTGTGGAGATAAAAAGGGTTAATAAATGTGTTTCATTCATGTGACTGTATGTGTTCCTAACACTACCCGCCACCCCTGAAGAAGTCAGTGGCCCAATTCAGTCACCCCAATCAAAAAAGTGTGGGCCCAAGTTTCCAAAAAATATCACCTGAAGAAGACATCCAGCGGAAACGTTGTGCTTTAATAAACTTTTTGTGGCATGTCTCTTTCTTCTGGCTGATGTTTTTGAATTGCCCTGCATCTATGTGATTTGCGTTTAACCCCCACCCACTATCCATCCACAATGTTCTACTTTAACATCTCTTCCTTTTCCCACACTTCTGAATTAGTTTCATCCAGTAGCAACTTAACCAACAAACCAGTGTACACAACTGTGTTCCATATTTTCTGTGTGAGGCCAGAGTCGTCTGTTCTGCTTTTTGATGATGTGTAATTGGGTTTGGCTAACTGAACAATATTTTCCATTTCCCTCCAACTGTGATTTCTGTTGCAAAAGGGGGTGTGGTTTTATTCCAATGCCTCTGCTCTGACATCATCATCACTTTGCCACTATGGCAACAGATCTGAAGTGCAGCAAAATACTTAAAGAACATTTCACCGGACTGCACATAGCTGGTCGACTTTTTAAATATAGACCTGACACATTTGCACTCCTGCAAGGCCAGGCATATATGTAGCTGCTGATATGCACACACACACACACATACACACACAGAGACAGACAGAGACACACACACACACACACACACACACTGACTCTCTCCCACTCTGGTAACTGGCCATATGTTTTCCGATATAGTGGGACAGAATATTTATAGCTCTACCAGAAGGCCACTTAGTGGTCACATGGTTTTATCGGATAAGAAAGTGTGAACTCTGTTCTCATGCCACTGCGCCTCCTTTGTTTTGCACCTTACACATATTTTCGTGGCAGTTCAACAATTTTAAAACACATGCAGCAAAATGTCACCTGTAATCATAAAAAGCTTTTAAAGGAATACTTCACCCTTTTCCAAAAGTCCTTAATTGCTGAGAGCTGGTGGACTGTTGGATCATACCAAACTTATTATGCCTGCATCTTAAAGCTAGGGCAGGCAATTTATCGGTGCAGAACTTCTAGTTATTTGTTCAACTTATTTTTTTACATGACATTTTAATTTATAACTCAATTACGCCTCAATCAAAACAAGAACATTTGTATTTTTCCCATGCCTGAAATGGGTGGCACTTATTCATGAACTCTTTGTACATCTACACAGGCTAAGGTCGCGGTCATACTGGTCATCTGTACCGTGCTGTAGGCTACTCAAGCACGATTGCCCCCCCGCTGCGTCATTCCCATGCTGGCCGGCACGGCCCGTGGTCATAGGCTACTGGTCAGGACTAACCGTGCCTAAAAGCATGATCACCTCTTACACATAACGTCGTAATACAACACCTGCACGCTTCATGTTATTATGAAGCGTGCTTAGTTTACAAACAGGCGGACTTGAGAGAGAGAGAAAAAAAGAGACGCGCAGTCGAATCCGGGTCTGCACATCGGAGAACAACACAGAGAGCATGACAGCTACTTTGTGGCTTATATTGTGTCATTTTAGTCAGATACAGCCTTGAAACTCTG